ATGGGTAGTTTTATCACATTTTAAATCACCTTTACTCCAGCATTAGCTGCTATGAAGGCATAGCAAATGAACTGACTAAGGTAGGAATGGCCACGTTTTGTCTGCAAAGTCTACCTGCCATTATGTTTACTACATATGGGCCTCAAAACCCAAGATGAGAGAGACAAGTGGCAAAGAACAGGCCGTTTCTGAACTAATCCCAGGCTTAGTTCAGTCCCAGAGCCAAATGGTTTTATTCAGAGATTATCAGCATAATAACAGTAACAAATAAGTGTCAGTAAGAATGCTTTGTAAATATCTCTGAGCTTTTATGCTGCAAATCAGATGTAGCTTTAGGTTTTGGCAGTCCGAGACTTTCGTTTCTGGAGGTTGGTGAAATACTGTAAGTGAGGGCGATGTGTTGGGAGAATAAAGGAGGTCTTTTTTTTTGTTTTTTCCTTTTTGCTACAGTACAAATTGCATGTGTGAGGCAGCGTTTTCATCATCAAAAATATGTAAAACAAAGCACTTCTGCTGCGCAGAAAAAAAATAAATAAATACTTCACTGATGTCATGTTGAACAAGAAAAAAAAATGATTCATGCAGGGGCCTACCTGGTCAGGATCCAGAAATAAGTCTGGCCCACATGGACAAGTCACAGTGGGAAAAGATGACTTAAGAATGATACGCATATACATATATACAGTGCTGTGCAAAAGTCAGAGACCACCTTTTGTTTATTTCATTTCTAGTCAAAACAGCCATTACATGCAAGTCATTCATTTTTCAGCTTCAGGAAAAAAGGACAAAACGTATTTATCAGAAAATCAAACAGAAACCTCAATAAATATAATTTCAGTTTTTTCAATATTTACTGTGTGCATCATTTGCCTTTATTACAGCTTGCGTTTTTTTGCACGCTTTCAGTTTTTGAAAGAAATCTGCAGGGATTTTTTTCCACTTCACCAAACATTTGGTAACCAACTTAGAAATTCATTGTATTTTCTTTAAACATTTGGTAACTTAGAAATTAGTTGTTTTTTTCTGCTTCTCACAATCCAAATAATCCCAAACTTATTCAGTGGTGTTGAGGTCTGGACTCTGGGGTGGTCGGTCCATTGAGAAACACCAGCAGCTTCTACCTTTCTCAGTAACAGCTTCTTAACAGCTACACATCCTTTCAGACCCATAGTGCTGAGTTGTCTTCTCACAGTGGAAGGATGGAGAGAAACACCTGTTGATTTTTTGAGCTTGATTTTCTCCTCTCTCTTGTACATTTTTAAATGGTTTTGACTGGAAATTAAATAGTTTAGGAGTGTCTCTGGCTTTTGCTCAGTCCTCTCTCTATATATAATGTATTTCCACCAATGAAACTATAATAACATTGTAATGTTTTTATAGATACCTGTGCTTTTACTAGAAATATTTTCTCAATTTCTTATGCAGTCACTCTCCATTCATTGAGCAGAAACTTGGATGATCCTCCTCAGTGCTGTGCTTGACTCATAGGATTCCCGCCATAACTCTCTTTGTGCCCATCGTCGGGCTGAGACAGTATAGCAGGTTGCGCAGCAGTCTTCCTATCGTTGTCATTGCTAATGGCTAATCACTTGCCCAGCAGGGTAAACCATCACAACATCCAACAGCGAAGGAATTTATGTACTGTATATTAAAAACAGTGGTCCTACAAGAGTGCCAACGCGTAGTTCGGTTTAAATGGCAGAAACTTTTTTAATGAGAGCGCCGTGGTGACAAATGACTGTTTTGCAGCCATAATGCAAAAGTTCTGAACATGTCATTAAAGGGAATTTTCTGCCCGAACTCCTCGGATCTCGCCGACAGGGATGGTAATCAAAACAAAAATATGAATTCCCCTCACACCCATCTCCCGTTCGGCTGTGGGGGATTTATTAAGATCCCCCCTCCGGTCCGGATTGAAATGTGCACAGACCTCCGTGGCGACTGAGAAATTCATTTAGCTCACGTGAACACGCCCCAGCTGCGCGTCTGTCTTGGACGTGAAACATTTGGTAGTCAAGCAGGTTTCCGAAACTTTCTCGTGATGACTCAAGGCTCGATCGGTTTCCCCTGCTTTCTTTCTTGGGTGATGACTGGTCACTTTGTCACAAACTATGTAGGGAAAAGAGAAGCTTGGGATAGAGGTGCCTGTGTAAATGATGTCTTTAATGTTGGTAATGACGAAAAACATCAAGAAAACCCCTAAAACTTTGTGTAGTTATTAAACTTGATACTAATCAATTATGTTGTAACTACTATGAAAATAATATGGAAGGTATGTAGTTATGAGAGTGAGGGACTGAAGTGTGGGCTCATTTGCCTTATGTACTCTCTTCAAATTGGCCCTCTAAGGGTGCAAACTCCAGCGTCGACATTTTAAAGGGGATTCCATCGATTTTTCACAGTGGTTAGAATTATTGGGATAATTAGAACTGCTTGATGTTCCTCCCTACCTGTCTGACCTTTCTATTTACACCCAAAAACTCTGAACTCTCAGTGAACCTGCATCGTTTATTTTTATATATATATATAGATATCACAGCAAAGAATCTTTCTTCATAGGCCAGAATGAAACTTCAAATTCTTACGATTGTTCAAAACTTCTGAATAATAAAAAGGTTAAGAAAACAGAGTCATTCAGAGTGATCTGATATGAAATGCTCCATTCTAGAGAAACTTAGAGTCTAAATCGTTCACAGTGGTGGTGATAGGAACCAGACGCCCGAAGAAGAAACCTCTAAAAGTGACATCACAGAAATTTGTTGCCTGAAACGGTTATAAATATGCTGCATTGTGTCTCAGACATCATTTTATGATAGTTTTGAGATGAAGTTTTCACCTAAAATGTGTAATTCATTCATGGTGAAGTGGTACATGTAGGGCATTGCAAAGCAAAATAGTCATTAAGAAAACTTATTTTTTCAGATTTATCACTATTTTACCTTCATCAACGTTGCGCCTCAACTCAAGACTCATGTAGGTTCACTGGTGGTTTTGGGTAGTAAATAAAATGGCTTTATTTATGTTGTAGACGTCACAACCTCTGGTTCCCATTACCACCTCTGTAAAGAAATCAGAGTCTGTAAGTTTCTCTACAATTAACCATTTCACAACCACTCTGAATGACTTTGTTTACATTTCAACTTTTGAATTAAGCAAAGATTTTGCAAAAATAAAAAAGCTATTGTTTGTATTCCCATCAAATCTATCAAACCTGGACTCATGTCGTCTGCGACGCTGGTTAAAAATAGTGCCTCCAATGTCAAAAAAAAGCAGCAATAATATTGAGAGAGTTACAGATTGCTGTGGTTTTCGATTCAATGTGGCTTTTTCTGAAAAAGCACGTATTCATATTGCAGTTCAAGTCATTAAGAGCTTATTTAAGATGCTGAAAGCGTTTGTTTAATCAGAGTAACTGTAAGAGGTGAGTGAAGTCTATAGTATATTCCCATACATTTGTTGGCTTACTCTGAAAGATGAGGTGAGAACCGTCTTCTTTACTACTTTTTTGGAAAACAGCCACAGTGACAGCATTTATAGATGCTGTTACTTAATACCGAGAGAAAAAATGAAGCTGCCTCTTCTAAAACTTTATCATTTAAATAAGATTTCTTGTAGACTTTGAATGGCTGGAGTCAGCCCGGCGGTGCTGCTAACATGGCGAAAAAGAATTGCGCCATTGTAATGATCCGACCAGTCACAATTTTGATTTCTCTCCACGGCGGGCTTTGACTCGAGATCCCGTGGAGCTTTTTTTCGGAGAAGAGGGAGCTGGACGCAGCTGCCCGCCGCCACCCTGTTGTTTCCACACATAGGCCACCTACTCCAGCGCCACTGGCTTCTGACTTAATTATGTCAAATGGAGGACTTTTTAAAAGACTCCGTTCAAGACTGCTCTCCGGCGTGGGGCCCCCGGCAGGGCGCTCTTGTCAGGACCCCCGCTTCTTCCTGCGCTCGGGAAATGAAAGGCTAGATGGGGAAGGCATAATGGAAGGCCTGGCTTTTTCGGACGGTGGGAGAGGGAGCAGCGAGGAGCGCGAGCCTCCTCCTGGAGAAGCCTCATTTTCCATGGAGCAGGTGGGAGTCTTTTGTTCTCGTCCCGCTGCTAAAATCCATTTAGCTCTCCGCACCTGACATGCAAGACAGGAGCGCTTCCAGTTTTAGACCGAAGAGAAAGGCGAAGGAGGCTCTAATGAAGCAGGCGCACACTTTTTTTTTTTTTACAGCGAGTCAACCCGAACACAATGGCGCGCCCGCGCGCTCGTCAAAAGGCGCTCGATTGCCGTGTAATGAATTTGTCTAAACGGCGGACGAGAAGGAGGAATGGGGGAGTAGGCGGCGATGGTGGTGGGGGGGTTCATTTGAGGACCCTGTAGCTTCCAAGCAGTTGTTGAGAGTCATTAGGATGCACAGACATGGTTCAGCTAATGGAAGGACAAGCAGCAGAACTGCTGCGGGTAACGAGGCTGTATTGAGCTGCCGCTTGGCATGGAGAGGACGCAGGTTGTTACTTTTGGCATCCTGCCACCCCCCCCTCCCCAAAACTCCTCTTTTTTGAAGTGCATTCTCACTAAAGCTTGTGATTGGAGCAGTAGCGTTCAGTGTCTTCTTTTCGTGAGTCAACGAGTTATTCGTGTGTTGGACAGCAGGCCACTCTGTGCGATATCTTTGTAAAGGGGGATTTTCTATAATTCATTGCTATTTCTCAACTCAATAAGTGATTTATGTGGGTGGCTGCGGGCCTTCCTTGCAAAAAAAAGACTCCTGCATATGAAAAAGCTGATCGCCTTCCCAAATCTCGGGTCGAACGAAAGCCCGGAGAAGTCACGCTGCAGAAGCTTCTCCCTGAATATCAATGCAAAAACAACACAACACAGAATCTGTGCTTAAGAGATTTTAACAGATTAGGCTGAGATTGTTTAGCCAAGGATTTTCTGGGCTGGCGTGTTTGTTGTCTAATTTTTCTCCGTTCTTTTTCCCCTTTTTCTCTTTCTCCATGGCAGTAGAAGACAATGTGACGGAGGACCAGAAGACTCCCGGGCAGGCTGCCATTCTAAGCGGTAATATCTCATCGATTTTCTTCAGCATCCAAGCATTTATGTGTAGCCTGTGTGCCTGCATAGAACAGCGTGTTAGTCTTATATATTTCACTGTGGCTTCTGCTCACCTGTTGTTCCTGTATTCCATCTCCATCTGCTGTTACAGTTCATGAAAACGGTTATGCATCCTGTGCCTCTGTATTTCATTAGATATGTGCATGTAAGCATGGCTATGCTAACAGACTCCGCAAACATGCCTGCTCTGTGGGCCAGAGGTGGCTATGAGGTGTGTATTGGTGCATGCCAACCCCCCCCCAATGTGTTTACCTCTGCTGCTCTTGATGCTGCAGTGTCGGTGCTTTACCAGATGAATGCTTCCTGTCACCTCATGTGGCATTCAGCGTTGGCCTCCAGGCAGCGAACGGTAATCCAGGTCATGCTTTTGCTCTGCTCGCCTGTGAATGAGGCCTGCTCCTGACGCGCGCGAGCCCGTTCTTCTTTCATTTGTCTCGTGTAAAGGTTAGGTCTCATGTGTGGTTATTTTAAACCTGATATGGATGACTTCGCCCAGCAGGCACGGGGGACCGCCGGCCCTCAAAGGTTGGCATTGCCGTCGAGCGTGCGCTGCCGACGCTTTGTTTTCCGTCCGCCGCCGCTGAAAAATGGCCGCTGTAACCCAGTGACAGCAGTAAACACAGAAAGCCTCCGGAAGTCTTGAGTGGAGTCAACACCAGTTGAACACTCAAAGTCAAAGACTGAAAATCTAAAATTGAAAACTCTGAGATGGTGTTCACGCTAATTCCACTCAGATCTCTGGCTTTAGTCTGTGTGACAGTGGACACAGAAACAGCAAAAGCCTCTGAAAATTTGAACTGGAAGAAAAACAGGTTGATTAAAAAGACTAAAAAGCTAAAATTAAAAATTGCTAGCTGCTGGGTGGGTTTGCGTGATCGGTCCACTCAGATCTCTGGTGTTAGAGTCTGTGACGGTAAACATAGAAATGACATTATGACAGAAATATAGAACAGTTGAAAACTCAAAATCAAAGACTGATAAGCTAAAATTGAAGGTGGCTAGCTGGTGTTTTTTTGGTAGAAATACCCAAAAGCATATGTAAGTTATGACTGAAATAAAAAACTCTCCCTTTTGAAAACTCTAAGCTAAAATTAAAACCTTCTAGCTGTTTATTTCCACTGAGATCTCTGGATTTAGTCTTTGACTGGAATAAAACTGGAGCCTCTGTACATTTTGACTGGTATAAAAACCAGCTGAAAACTCAAAATCAAAGATTAGAAACCTAAATTTGGCTGCTAGTTGGTGTTCATGCTAATTCCCCTGCGCTTTTACCCACGTCGTCTCAAACTCTCCGCCATAAAAGCTAGATGTCCACAAGTCCTATTAGAAGAGGTGAAAAGTTACCTAGTGTTCCTTCACATCACTGAGAAATGCTAATAAAGCTAACAAAGAATGGACATTGGGCATGAGACCATTTAGCATAATCTCATTTTACCAAGTGCTTGTTTTGTGTTTTACTAGCAGTCTCAAAGTTGTCTGCGGTGTTTAATAGAAAAAAGTCACAATAGCTTCTGACCGCAGGAGATAGATTTTACCACTGAAACATGTTGTGCTCACATGTTGTTCTCGCAATGATGGACAGTTTTTTTAAAGCCACATTTATGACAACCACAGGATCTTCAGATGTTAATTAGTGACTCTCGTAATGTTCTCAAACTTATTTATGATTCCTCCCGGAACTGGAAAATCCCACTCTAATGTTATAAATTTGGAAGGGCTGATGCCATACTGCGATCAGGGGAGATAAGGTGAACCGTCAGTAGACCTCAAAGATCAGTCTCTTCGATTGAGCGCAAAAAATCTATTCTTTTGCAAAGAAAAGAACATTGCCTGTGTTGCAGTGAGCTGGGCTCAATGAATTATTGGTAGATGCATGGCAGGTCATGTCACTGCATGATTCACAAGAGCCGTTGACACTAGCCAATACTCACTGTGCAATAATGCTGAGGTGGACCGAAGCAGACAGTGCTCAGCTGGTTTGAGAGGGACAGTGGTTTATGAATGCTAAAATGGCTTTAATTGTGCAATGCAGTGTGCCGTGGCTTTCTTTAGCTGCTTTTATTTTACAAGAGTTTTGTATCATTTTAACAGAGTTCTGGTGGAGGTTTGTTGAGCCATGTTGTTTTTATTGGAGATTCTTACACTATTGTTTAAGTCCTTGCTAGAAATGCGGCATATAGTGGCGGACAATAAAGTCTTGCCTGAGGATTGTTTATTTTCATATATTATTTGAGCTTATCAGCTGCCCTTTGCATTGTGTGCAAAATTCATGATGAATGGACCAATATAAATGCTTCAAAATTACTTTGTATTAACTTACAACCCCATTTCTAAAAAAGTTGGGACGCTGTGCAAAATGTGAGTAAAAATAGAATGGAATAATATGCAAATCATGTTCACCATATATAACATTTAAAATAGTACAAAGACAACAATTTTGTTGTTTTTTTTCTAAAAAAATGAACATGTTTCAAAAAAGTTGAGACGGGCAAGTTTATTTCTGTGTTGCATCACTTCTTCTTTTAACAACTCTCTGTAAGTGTTTGGGAACCAATTGTTGTATTTTTGAAAGTGAAATGTTTTCTCATTCTTGCTTGAAATAGGATTTCAGCTGCTCAACAGTTCGAGGTCTCCTTTGTCATACTTTTAATTTCATAACGCATCAAATGTTTTCAATGGGTGACAGGTTTAGACTGGACCATGGAGCCATACGTGCAGAATGTGGTTTGGCATTGTCTTGCTGAAATAAGCAATGTCTTCCCTGAAAAAGACATCATCTCGATGGCAGCGTATGTTGCCAAAACCTATATATATCATTCAGCATTAATGGTGCCTTCGCAGATGTGCAAGTTACCCATTGAACTGATTGAACTGATAACAAGCTGGATGGCCTTTAGCCCAGAGGACACAGTGTCCATAATTTCCAAAAATAATTTAAAATTTTGATTCATCAGACCACAGGACACTTTTCCACTTTGCCTCAGTCCATCTTAAATGATCTCCGGCCCAGAGAAGGTGGTGGCGTTTCGGTATCTTGTTTATATATGTTTTTTTTTTTTTTTCTTGCATGGTCAAGTTCTAACTTGCATTTGTGGATTCAGTGACAAACTGTGTTCACAGACAGTGATTTTCAGAAGTGTTCATGAACCCATGCAGTGATTTCCACTACAGAATCATTTCTGTTTTTAATGCAGTGCTGCCTGAAGCCCCGAAGATCACAGCCAGCCAATATTGGTTTTCGGGCTTGTCCCTTGCATTCAGAGATTTTTCTAGATTCTTTGTATCTTTTAGTTATATTGTATACCGTAGATGATGAAGTTTTTTACTATTTTGCATTGAAAACATTATTCTTGAATTGTTACACTATTTGTCAACGCAGTCTTTCACAGAGTGGTGAACCCCTCCTCATCTTTACTTCTGAAAGTCTGTGGGATGCTCTTTTGACACCCAGTCATGTTACTGAGCTTATGCCAATGAACCACCAGGTGTTTTTTCTTTCGCCTTGCACAACTTTACCAGCCTTTTGTTGCCCCCGGTCCCAACTTTTTTGGAACGTGTTGTTGGCATTAAATTCAAAATAGGCAAATATTTTTCAAAAAAAAATAAAATTTCTCAATTTTAGACATTTGAGATTGTCTTTGTACTATTTTTTAATTAAATGAAGGGTTTAAATGATTTGCACATTGTTGCATTCTGTTTTTATTTACATTTTGCACAGCGTTAAAATGAACTAATTATGCTGTTTTTGTAATAAATGCCGTTGGTCAGTACCCACGATATGCTCAGAAAAGCGAAATGTGACGCAACTGATCACGATAGCGATGAATATTGTCACATTGGCCACCCCTAGTAAGATATTTGATAGTTTTTAGTCAATGTTCAGGATGCCCACCAAAGTTAAACTTCTGTATTATTGTCATTGTAAGCTTGAAACTCTAAATCTCAGTAACTATGTTTTACACTTTTTCTGGCACCAGTTTCTGATTGAGTCGACCTCTCTGGCCAATTACAGCTCAATCTCATGGTGGTGAGGGGCTGTTCATAAATTGGCCTCCAGGTATGTTCCTGGCCTTTTTGTCTGTGTGTGTGTGAAAGAGAGAGAGAGAGAGAGGAAAAAGAGTTTCCAGCTCACATCACTGTTTGACACGCACCCAGAAGAAAAGAAAAATTAGTCACAAAAGAAACGGCGATGGAAAAGTGTGCATTCTACCTAGCGCGCGGTTCAGGAACAGTGTGGTGTCGGTGATTTAATGAGACAGTGTACTTTCTCTCCTCCTTTTTCACGTCCTTTTTTTATTCCCTTTCTCCTTCCAAAGTCAATCGGGTTTGTGATCCACAGCTTGGCTGTAGCTCTATGTGCTGCCTGGGTGTAATTATAACCACATGCGTCTTGTGCTGCCCCCCCCCCCTCCTTTCTTTCTTTTCTTCTTTTTATGTACTTCTTTTTCTTCCACCCCGACTGTGTGGGGTTCGAGCTATTCTGTGGAAGCGAATGTCAGTTTTGGCTAAACTGGAGTGGACCGACTTTTGTATTTGTGTTGTAAAAAATAATCGGAGGGGTGGGCTAGATAGCAAGGTGCAGGGAAAAAGAGAGAGAGAGAGAGAAAGAGAGAGAGAAAGAGATCAATGCAGTGCTGCCAGAGGAAAGAAAGAGCGAGGGAATAGAAAGGGAAGCTTGCTCTCTCTCTCCTCTGGCTCTGCTGAAATCAGCCTCTCTATTATTCATTTCCTTTGTTGTGCGACTGTGCTAATGGCATGGCAAGACGCTTCGCTCAATAGTATATCTCTTTCCTGCTAGAAGAAGGAGGAAAAGTAGAGAGTGCGGGGGTCTTGCTCTCATTTTTGATAGCTTTGATTTTCTTTGCCCAGTTTTTTCTCTTTCTTTCTTTCTCTCTCTCTCTCTCTCTCTTTTTCCCCTTCTTTTGAAGAAGGAGCCCTGTAACATT